CGTGAGCTTCTGCCCCAGGTTGGGGTCACTGCAGTCGAACAAACTGGGGAGATGCGCTGCGTTGGTGGGCAGTGAGGTGAAGCCGTCCCTCTCCCTCAGCCATCCAGGCTGCTCACCAAGCTGCCAGCCAGCTCTGCACTTCAATATTCTAGTGTGTGGCATTGAGGGGGGCCCAGGGCACCCCACATAGGAGTGGCTTCAGCTGAAGCCAGGGGCCAAGACACTAGAGAACCCCATTTTGAGCTGTGAGTCACCATCAGCCTTGAGGATTTTTTTTCTTTTTTCAATGAGAAAATCAGGAATCCATTTTACCCGCACTTTAGAAGAGCTGCTCCTTGTGAGAACTTCGGGGAGCAGCCCTCACCTAAAGCTGAGCTTGCTGAGGGTGTGGAGATGATGACATCAAGCAGCTTGAGCAGCCTCCTCCTTAAAGACCTCACAGATTAGAGATGACTATAGATTTTCCCCAGCACAGATCAAAGGTACGGGATTGAATGATTTAGCCTAATGATCCAGCCCCTGTCATACCCACAGGGATGGGCGGCCCTGCAGAAGCAGTGTGTGTGTGCTCCCACTCACACCGGGAACTCCAGGTGCACGGGCAGGTGAGGCCTGCAGCCAGATGGACGCAGGCAGGTGAGACCTGCAGCCAGATGGACGCGGGCGGCCCAATCCGTGCGACGATCTGAGGCAGCCTGCGTCTATCCTTGGCGGACCTCGAGTGCTCGCTCAGGCACTCTAGAATAGCAGCGACAGACTACCGCTTTCTTCCTACAAGTTTTCAAAGCATCCCGGGCTGCTGCACTGGTGACAGGCGGCGAGCCCTGTCCAGGGTCCTGATGGCGCGCGCCCTGCTCCACCCACCATGCAGGAAACAAAGACGGCCTGGCTTGGCTGGGCCTGGGGCCGCCTCCCTCCTGCCTTGGGTCATTTCGCCGGGAGAGGAAACAAGGAAACAAAGGAACTGCTGATCCGCTGCATCCCTCAGCCCTCATCTCTGAACTGTGACAGCCGGGTCACCTTCTCCTTTGCCGACCCTGCTTTCCTTAAATAAAAACACACCAGCAAAAGCATCATTTAGATTAAAATATCCAAGCTTGTGCCTTGTTAGGGCAGGTTAGGACTGTGGTGTACTTTGGAGGGCACAAAAATGTCTCCATCAGTTACGTAACCCCAGGTATGGTCTGGGCCCCCAAGAGGGGCACAAGACAGCCTTCTCTTCCTCCCCCACAATCTCTCCCCGTCAAAACAGTTGGAATCGCATGACCATGTCATCAAAACAAAGGCGTAGCTAGTGTCCCCTTCCTCGCCACTGCAGGACCAAGGATGCATTGGGTGACAGGCCCATGGGCCCACAGGGGGTGCACATGACCTCCACAGAGGGGCAGTCAGGGTCCCTCGAAAGGGAGCCCCCAAACCAGGGGATGAGGGTACATCACTCACAGGGTTCTCAAAGCTTGAGCACAGAGACAGGCCTCGGGCTTAGGGTGGCTTTGCTGCCACACAAATGGACTGAGCTATTGCTGATCATTTTGGGGTCAACTGGACGGGCTGGGGTGATCATGGGGCCCTGAGGGTGGGTAGCAGGCTGAGCAGCTCTGGCTAACGGCCCTCTCTGCATACTTCTGAGGCACTCTTGAAGGGCCCTGGGGTTTGTCTCTGGTGGGCACTCTCACTGCATGGATTCCAAGGTCACTGCACAATGGCTATCACACCTCCTACAGCCTCAAGCAGGTTTGGCCTGCTCAGGGCCTGGCGCCTGTGCATGTCACACCCTGTGTGCACCTTCTGTGCCTGCCCCACTCAGCCTGGGCTCCCTAGTGGGCACTGCACAGAGGGATGGTGCTGCTCAGCCTTGAGGCATGGGCACACTGCTAGACCCTGGCCACAGTTCCGAGTGGGCTAGGGTGTGTGCATGCGTGAGGGTCCTCCATCCACTGCCCTAGGCAGGCTCGGGAACTCAGCCACCCCCAGCCTGGGCCACGATGGGCGGGGGAGGGTCCAGGCCTCCACCAGGCTCCAGGCGACACGGTTGGTCGCGCCCTGCCGGTCCTTTGTTATAGCAGCTGCGTAGCCCAGATGAGGCTCAGCCTCTCTTCCCACCCTGCACCTGGAGCCCCCAACTCCCGCATCCCCACACCCAGGCCTGGCTTCTCTCCAAGGGCTGAGCAAGTGCGGTGGCTGTGTCCTCCGACTGCACCCTGTCCTGGCTCCCGCAGCCCATTGAGGCCAGGGGACAGCTGAAATGTCCGGCCGGAGTAAATAATTAACAAAAAGCAAATGGACTTGTGCGGGGCCTTGATCAATCAATCTCACCACAAGGCCACTCGTGGCAAACACTGCCCAGGTTGGGTCATGCCAGACTTTCTCATGGACTCCTCCAGGAACCCTCCCCCGGGCAAGAGGTCCTCCTCCAGGTCCCCCAGGGCAGAGGCTGGGGACACGTCCCTGGTGCTGGGGATTCTCTGCCTCCTCCCAGACCTGCAGTGCTTGGTCCCTTCTCCTGCCCAGGGTCTTGCAAACATGAATTTCCATCCATGCTGGCCTTATACCACTTAGCACCTTGCACTGGACTGCACTGTGCTTCAATGCACGGGCAGCAAGCTTTACACTGGAGGGAACAGTTTTAAGGTGGTTAATTTGGTGAGAATTCCCTCCCTTGTTGCTCATCTTCCACCTGCACTATAATTTGGCAGAAGGCCCTTCTCCAAACACCGCTGGTCTGGAGGGTTCGGATCCTGCGGACCTGGGGCCAAGCAATCTGTGCGGAGGCTGGGCCTTCTATTGGTTGAGACCCGCAGGTCTGTGTGCGCACTGAGCAGCCTGTCTCCGTGCACCAGAACAGCAGTGCTGGAGTCCTGTAGCCAGGCGCTCTGAGCCCTGCTGGATGCCATCGGAGTGTTTAGAAAGCGACCTCGCTTCAAAGAAAGCAAGAAGGCAAACAAGAAAAACAAACAAACAAAAAAACCACCCACTAACAAGAGGGCTCCTGCTTATCCAGTGCCTTAAAATGAGGCTGTGGCTTTCCCGACAGCACCAGATCGTCCCTGCTTGCACCCGGAGGTGCCCCTGGCCTGCCCCTGATGTACTCCTACCCGTCCTTGTGAACCTCTAAGTTAATGAAATAGGTGATGCTGGCTCCAAGTTTTGAAAACCAGGTTCCATGAGTTTGGGGGAAAATATCCTACTTCAGGTCTCTCATTTTCCACTTTTTCCATGAAAACGCCTTTCTAGGCTGCTAGGTGTCCAGGCAGACACCCTTTCAGTGACCTCCCGGATCTCATGAGCACCTGCTCTGCACCTTGTGCGGCCTCGGGAGTGAGGATCCTGACACCTGGGTGCTCCCACCCTCAGCTCCACTCTGCTCAGATCCCTGGAGGTGGAGGGAGCCGCATTCGAGGTCTCCTGGGAAGGGAACTTGCCGTCTGTCCTTCCAGATGGCCGGAAGCAGTGTGCCCTCTCGCTGAAGTCTGGAGTGCGTGCCTTCACAGCTGGTTGTGGAGCTGGCCTTCCCCGAGGGAGGGGTGCCTTTCTCCTTCCTCTTCCTGCTACCCTCCCCACGACCTCGCAGGCCCACCCGGTGCGCAGGCAAAGCACTGCCTACCAGCGGGCGCTCAGAGGCGAAACCCATCCCATGCTGAAGTGTACCGCTCGCGGGTTTAAGTCAGTGCGCGGAAGACAACGAGGTGTAGGTGCCGGCAAGGAGGGGCTCACCGAGAGTGACCAGGGGATACCTTGGCGCGCGCACAGACAGATCTCGGACAGAACCTGCAGGGCGGGGCTCAGGAGGCCAAGTGCTGGAACTCCAGGGCTCGGCGGGAGGAGGCCTGGGTGCTGCGTGCTCGGTCCTGGGCGCCCGCCAGTCCCACGGTCTCATTGGTGCACACGGTGGGGGAGGGGACCGCGGCCTCCCGCTTTGATTTTAGACTGTGAAATGGCTCAGTGCCCCCAGCTCTGAGCGGATTGACTGTCTCTCGTCCTCCAGGGACGAATTAATGGAGAACGATCAGTTAATTAACAAACCCTCATTCAGGCTTTTACCTTTCTTTCCGCCAAGGCTGGGCCTGAGCATGTGCCGAGCAGGGGCTAGGGGCAAAGACTCAGAAGTCAAGCTCAGTGCGCCCTCAACCTCTGCTCCAGTCTTCCTCTCTGGAGGTCTCGGCACAGCCCGGGTTCCCAGCGCCGTTCTGGGCTTCACTGTCCCTTGCTCTATATAGGCCTTCAGGGGAGCCAGACGCCCAGGCTCCCTCCGAACAAGCCGGCTCACGTGCCTTTTACGGGGGATCCCGAGGCAGACTGGAGGGTCACTGGCACACTCCTTCCCTCTCACACCGGCCTTCGGAAGACAACCGAGAGCGGTGAAGGCGGTCCCGGGCTCCACTTGGGGGGGGGTCCCGTGTCACTCAGCCCTTTTCCTAGGGTCCTCGGCACCGCGTCTCCCCTACCCCACCCCATTTCCGGTCTACAGCAGGCTCCGCGGGCGCAGTGCATTCCGCAGAGGTCCCACCACACACCTTTCCTGGCAGCTGGGACCTCTGACCTGTGTCCCTACAGTGCGGTTCCCTACAGCCTGCCCCGAGCCTGGAGACCGAGCGCGGAAGCCGCTGAGCGGGTGCAGCCGACAGCTCTGCGGGCTCTAGCCCAGCGCAAAGTGCATACCTAGGCGCACTGCAAACTCCGCATGCAGCTTCAGGTAGGCATTCTGTGCCCGCTCCTCCCAAATCCCGGGTGCTCGACCCAGAACCCCTTGCACAGCTTGTGATCTGCCGGTTCGAAGATGTCTCTTGGCCTCCGGCTAGGCGACCTTTCTGTGCTGCCCCTCAGCACAGAAGTGCTCCGTAGGCAGTCACGGAGGCCGCACAGCTCAGCTCCGAGACTCTGTCACAGTCCAGTGCGCGGAACCCTAGGGGAGGCGTCTGCCCCCAGCCACGTGCCAGTCCTCCCAAGGACCCGTCTCCAGTTCCCTCTTGCCCACACGCCCAGCTCTGTAGCCAGCTCACCTGCTAAACGGAGCGCCGACATGCGCTGGAACTCGGGCTCCTGCAGCCACTTCCACATTCTCCGGAATGTCTCCCGGCCGGACTTGAGCTTGCTCCAGGGTTTTGGGTTGCGCAGCAGGTCCGAGAGGGTCCCCTGGGAGCGGCAGAGCACCCTCTGAGCAAAGATGGCCTGGGGAATGCTGTAGCGTTTGAGCTCGGTGGTGATGCGCTGCGCCACCTCTTTGGTATTGATCTCTTCCATCTGCCCTGAATTACTTCCATTGCTGACTTGCGCGCCCGCCACGGAGGGGTTAGGCTCCCGGGCAGGGCCCAGGAGCTGGCCGTGACCCTGGGCGTTCAGGTGGGCGTGGGGATGGTGCGGAGGAAGGCCGTTGATGGGCACCATGCCGGCCGAGGTGGGTGTGAGATGTTGTTCCCCGTGGCGGCCGAGCATGGCCGGGTGGTGGGCTTCAAAACCGTTGGGGGTGAGCATCTTGTCGGCGGGCATGGCGGCTCCAGGGTGGCCATAGTGAGGGAGCCCTTGCTGGGAGTTGTGGATGCCACCCAGGCCGGAGCCGGAGAGGGGCGAGAGGCTCTGGCCCATGCCGGCCACGTCCTTGTGGTAGGGGGTGTAGAGGTTGTTCATGGAAGCCAGCCCGCGCTCGTCGCGCATGAGAGTGAAGCTGCCGCTCACGTTGCCCGCCAGGCGCTGGTGATGGTGCGGCGGGTGGTGGTGGTGGTGATGGTGGTGGTGGTGATGGTGGGGGAACTTGTCGGACACGGTGGAGATGGGTGGCAGCGGTTGCAGCGGGGTGAGCGTGGTGTAGGTGGTGGGCATGCTCATACCTGGGGGGGTCTCGCAGGCCATGGTCATGGTGGGGTGCAGGGGCCCGGCCAGGCTGTGCTCCGGGCCGCGGGGGTGGTGATGGTAGTCGCCGCCGCCGCCGCCGTCCAGCAAGGTGGCCATGCCCAGCGAGCGCGGGTGCGCGGGGGCCAGGTGGCCGCCGCGGTGCGCCACGGATCCGCGCGCGTGGGGACTGCCTCCCAGCAGGTCAGCGGGGGCGGGCACTGGCTCGTGGCTCACCGCGTGCAGCTCGCCGATCGCCTCCATGGTCAGCTGCGCGTTCATGGTGATGCAGGCGAGAGCGCGGCGGACACCACATCGAGGTGGCGGGCAGAGCGGCGAGGGCGCGCGGGTCCGGATTACATCGGCCGCCGGCGGCTGTGCTGCCGCCGCTCACGCTCCCGGTGGGTTCTGTCTTCTCCTGCGTGCACGCGTGTGCGTCCTGCCTTGCCTCTGCCCCCACCTTCCCCTGCGTCCTCGGCTGTTTTTAAATATTAATTTCCAAAAAGACTGCGCGCGTGGGGAGAACGCGGCGCCTCCAGCCCGGCGGCCCCCTCTCGCCCCTCTCCTGCCTAGAACGGCGAGGCCCCCCGCGCCCCTGCCGCGGCCCGCGCGTCCGCCGCGGCTGCTACCC